CCGGTGCCCCCCCTGGCCCCTTGGCGCCCTCCCCGGGCAGCCCCCCAGCCCCAGCGCCGGGGGAGCATCGGCTGTGCCGAGCGAGACCTCGGCACGGGCACGCATCCATCTGGCGCCTTCCAAATGTTACTGGCCTCGCAGCATCCCGGCCCCGCTTGGCGTTAACCCGCAGCGCACCGCGGCCTCGCAGCTGGCTTGGGGCTGGGGGGGAGCCGAGCTACGACCCCCCCGGTGGTCCTCAGCGGGGCATCGGGGGCTGAGGAGCCACCTCAGGGGTGCGTGCGAGGGGGTGGCACGGGGCTGGGGGACGGAGCCCGCTCCGTGCCGGGGCGGCCGCGGGTGTTACATGACCCGGCGTGGCCGGGCGCTGGGCAGGGACGCACCGGAGCTGTGACTCATGCTGTGGCTATAAGAGGGAGCGTGGGGAGAAAAGGGGGGGGGCCGTGGCCGTCTGCGCAGCCTCAGGCCTGCCTGCACGCGGGGGGGGGCCCGGGGCACGCAGGGCAAAGCACCCCACGACGGCACCGGGGACGGCACCCGCGGGGGGGACCCGCGTGCCAAATCCCCGGCACCCCCAAATTTCCCCCTTGGCACCCGGCTCCGCGCCCCAAAAGGGCCGGCTGTCGGGGCGTCCCCGCGGTCCCCAGCGGGGAGGGGGCCGAGGAGGGGGCCAGGCCGGCTGCTCGCCTCCTGCGCCGGCTCAGCGGGGCGGGGGAACAAAGCTGGCACCGAGGGAAGCAGCTAAATTTAGCCCGTTTCCCTGCTAGCTCTGAACTGCGGCTCTCGGCTCCAGCCGGCCGAGGTGCCACCGTCTCTGCAGTCCATCTGTCGAGCGCTTTGGCGGCCCCACCTCCCCCCCCCCCTCCCCGGCACAGCCCTACAGCCCCCCCTCCGTGCGCCTGGCGAGGGGACCGAGACCCCTCCGGGGACAGGGGCTGGGGGGCAGAGGGTTGGTGTGAGGGGGCTGTGTCCCATGATGGCCGATGGCACAGGGTTGGGGGGAGCTGGGCATCGAGGGGAGCATGTGGGGGGGTCCTGACCCCCCAAAAAAAGCAAGGGGAGCATGCCCAGGGGGGGCTGTGGGCCCCCAGGCCTGTACAGGGGATAATGGTGATTGCAGGGGGGTGGAGGCGGCAGGGGAGGGGGTCGTGGCTGGGGGCTGTGCTGCCTCCCCAGCTCCGCGTGGCCCCCCCCCCGGCAGCGTGGGATGCGGCAGCGGTGCCCGCAGGGGGGCTGCGTCCCCAGCTGGGTTTTGGGGTGGTTTCGGCAGGGAGCTTCCCACAGTGCCTTGCTGCAGCGGGGTGTGGTTGGGGGGGTGCCAAAACCTGCAGGTACCCGGCGCCGCCAGCCCCTCGGTCCCACAGCTCCCCCCCCCCCAGTGCCACGCCGGGTGCCAGAGCACCCTGGGGTGCCTCGGGGAGGTGTCAGCAGCTCTCCCTGCGGACCACATTTCCTTAGGGCCGTTTGCCCCCCGCAGCACCCAAACCCTTCCCGGCGGTGCCGTCTCCCTCCCAAAGCACCGCGGGGGTCCGGCAGCTCCCTGGGTGGGGAGGGGACCCCAAAACCCCTCTGCTCTGGTGACCTGCGGCCCCGTGATGGGAAGGGGAGGCCGAGCAGCTCGGCTGGACCCCGTTCCCTGGGATGAAACGCAGGCACCATCTGCTCCCTCTCCTAATTACCACCGCGGCGCAGAGGGCGAGGCAGCGGGGGGAAGCGGCGACGGAGGGGATCGAACAGCCCCGGGAGCGGGCGATGGCCAAAGGCAGGGAGGGTCAGGGCTGTTCGTGAGCCCCCACACCCCCCAGCACCCGCCTGCGGCCACCCCCAGCCCTCCCAGTCCCAAGCCACCACCACCACGCACCGGTGGCACCGCGGCTGTGGCCGGGGACACCCCACGGGGAGTGAGGGGGGCGCAGGGAGGAAGAGGAGGGAGCAGGAGCCGCGTGCTTTGGGGCAGGGGTCGCGATGCTGAGGCCAGGGGGGGTGGCGGTGGGGGTGAAACGGGGGGGTCTGCCCGCCCGTCCTGACCCCCCGCACGGCGCAGGGAGGAGGTGGCCGGGGGGGGGCTGGACGGAGAACACGGAAACCCTCGGAAAGCGCCTGCCAGGAAGCTGTCACTGGAGGGGATTTTCCATTGGTGTCAGCAGGCGCAGGACGGGCTCGGTGGGGATTTGCAGGGCGGGGGGGGGGCCGGGTGCGTGTGAGCGAGCGAGAGGGGGGCGAAAGCGTGCAAGGGGGGGGCGGCAGCAGGCAGGGGGGAGCCCCCACAGTGCCCCCAAATGCGCTTGTGCAAGGGGGCAGAGTCGCCACCATGCCCTGGGGGTGCACATGAGTGTGCAAGGGAGGGGTGGTGCCCCCAGGAGCGTGCAAGGGGTGTGCGTGCACGAGTGGGGCACCCCCCTGATGCCACAATTTGGGGGGGGGCACCTCCACGGTGCCCCAGCTGTGCGCGTGTGCAAGGGAGGTGCGAGCACACGCACCGGGGACGGACGTGGCAAGCCCGTGCCCGCAGCACCCGCATGACTGGGGGCGCCCAAAACGGGGGATTTGGGGCCCTCCCAACCCACCCCCGGTGCCCAGGGGGCCAGGGCAGGCAGCGGGGTGATTGTGGGGGACCCCCCTGCACCCCACGCCAGCCCCGCGGGCATCTCGGCACGGGGTGGGGGGTGCGGGGCTGGCGTGTCCCCATCTGTGTGGCGGCTGCGTCCCCGCCGCCTGGCTGTCTCCCGGTGGCATCTCCGGCCCCACCCTGACGTCTGGGTGGCCTCGGAGCCGGGCACCAAACCACGGCCGTGTCTTGCGGGGCCGGCCCTCCGCCGCAAGCTGCCGCGACGCCGGTGCCAAGCGAACCCTTCCGGGGAGGGGGCCGGGTGCCAGTGGCCCCAGGGAAAAGGGGGGGAAGGAGGTGGGGGGAAGGACGCAGCCCCCCGTGCCCTCGCCGTGGCACCTCTCCCGCCCCGCGGCACCGGGTGGCCGTGCCACCCAAGCGGGAGCCCCCCCGGGAAGCCAGCCGGGGCCGGGGGAGGTGGGGGGGGGGAGGCCGTGCCGCCTGCTTCCAGCCTGCGCCGAGCCTGAAACCGTTAAACTAATTAAAGATTTGCAGCAGCAGGATTAAGCCCGGGCAGGGGAGGTGGCGAGCCCAGGTAGTCGATTAGTTCACCAGGCGAGGATATTGGATTTCTGCGAGGCGAGTCAGCAGTCTTCGGGGGCTGTTATCTTTGCGAGGCTCCAGGGGTCAGGAGGTGGGATGCAGAGGTGGCTGCAATTCCTCCCCCCCCCCCTCCTCCCCGCCGCCCGCCTCGCCCGCCGCAGCGCCCGGCCTCGCCGCCTCTCCCCCGCCCGCCTCTCCCATCCATCTCTCCCTCTTGCTCGCTCCCTCCATCCCTCCTCTCTTGTGTGGTCTCGGCTGGTGTTTTGTAACCAGCAAGGAAAAAAAAAAAAAAAAAGAAGGGAAAAAAAAAAAAAAAAAAAGAAGGAAAACGGCCCTACCCCTGGCTAGCAACCCAGGAATGGCGAAGTCCAGAGCGCCTAATGCGAAACATGTGGCAGCTGCCTGGGGCTGAGCAGAGGAGGTGAAAGTGAGCGCGGCGGCGCGGCGAGCATCCCGGCGCGCCCGGCTCCCTCGCCCCCAAATGGTGGCGGGGGGCCCGTGGGTGCTGCCCGGCCCCTCGGCTGGGTGGGGGGCGCAGGTGGTCCCGGACAGAGGGCGGGAGGAGCGTTGGCAGCACGCGGGGAGCGTCGCCCACCTTGGCACCGGCCGCGTGGCCCCGCTGAGCCGAGGGCAGGAGCCCGGCACCGGGCAGGGTTTGGTAAGAGCCGGCGGCACCGCGCACGGCTGGGGGGGCGCGCACCCATGGGTGCACACAGCAGGGTGCCACGCACAGCAGCAGGGAGCCCCGGGCATCCTGCTGTGCGAGGATTTGCGAGCTCGGAGGCGGCTCCGTGCGCCCAGGGTGCATGCGAGGGGCACCCCACGGCCCCTCGGGGGCAGCCGGGGCGCAGAGGAGGGGACGCGGCCGTGCCCCGTCCTCCCTGGCGAGCCGTGCGCAGCGTGTGCGGCAGGGAGCGGGTCCCAGCGGCTGTTCTGGAAAGCCTCCTGTTTGCTTCCTTCCTGCCTGACTCCCCTCCAACAGCTCTCAGCTCCGGGCACATTAGCAGATTCATCAGAGACTCGACCGGTCTTTCTAGCACATATTTTCCTGCTCCACATTGCCCTTGGTGTAACTCTACACCGTGCAGGCAACACAGCCGCGTTTCTCCGCTGGGCTGCGGGAGAGGTGCCTGCGCCTCCGTGCCAGCGCTGCGCCCAAAGGATCGCGGGGAGACGGGGAGGGGGCTGAGGACGGCCTGACAGGTTTGAATTCTCCTTCCCTGCCTTGTTGATAAGTTGTCACGCTAATCCAGACACCGGGAACAGCCTGGATCACGCCGAGCGGGTGCGTGTGGCTGGGTGTGTGTGTGTGTGTGTGTGCTGGGGGAGGGAAAGAACAGGCAGAGATTCACACGCGGCTGGGGGGGAAAATGCAGCCAGACGCAGGCACAGCCGGACCTCGCCTGGGCTGGGGGGGGCTCCGCCGTGCTCCCCCCGTGCCAATGCGTGCACTGGTCACACAGGCCCCCAGGCGTGCTGGCATCGCGCGGGCACCACCGCAGCAGGCAGGCACGGATCCACGCGCACACGCGTGTGCACACACGTGCACATGCATGGGAAACGTCGCACCCCAGGAGGACAAACCCGAGGCTCGGGGGGAGCAAAGGGGCTCCCAGCCCCAAAACGCACCCCCGTGTGTCCCTGGGCACCCAGGCAACGTGCCCCAATCCATGTCCCCAAATGTCCCCGGGGGGTTGCAAGCGTCATGGTGCAGCCGGCGAGGCGTCAAACACGGGGGGCGCGGCACGCCCGGCCCCATAGCGGTGCTGGGCGGGGGGCTGGGGCTGTTTTGGGGAGGGGGGGGGACACCGGGCTGATGCAGCAGGGGTCTCTGTGCTTGCTCGAGCAGATGGGAGCTCGGTCGCCTGCCAGCCCGGCGCACTGGAGAACGGTGCCAGCCCGCCAGCCGAGTGGTTCCCGCGCGCCCAGGGCTCCGGCCTCCGCCAGCCCAGCAGCGACGGCGACGGCCCCTGACCTGCAGCTTCAAAGTGAACCTGCACTGCAAGCACCCGCGGCCCAGGTACCCCGGGGGGGCCCTCGCCCCGGGACGGGGAGCAGAGGGTGCACCGGGGGTGGGGGCGGGCGGCAAAGCTGGCTGCTTCTCTGCCTTGGCGCTGGGGGGAGGCTGCGGAGCATCCCTGGGGGCTCCACGGCTTGGCAGATGGCTTGGCTTAGCGGGGTGGGGGCAAAGAGGGGTGCGGGGTGCTGGGAGGGGGCTGTGCCGTGGGTGTCAGCCCCGTGATGGGTGCTGGGTGCCCCTTCCCAGCCTTGGGTGCCAGTGCCATGTGTCCCTGTGCGCACCCCGGGGCTGTCCCCGCAGTGCCACCCGTTTGCAGCGAGGGGAAACTGAGGCAGGGGGCGATGCGGGGGCCCTGGGGCTGCTGCCACGGGGTGGTGTCACCGCGGGTGCTGCCCCGCTGCAGTGCCCTGGGGGTGGCAGCTGAGCAGGGGGTGTCCCTGGGGGGGTCAGGGAAGGAAACAGGGCTGGGCACAGGGCAGGGGTTGGGGTCCAGGGGGGCGGCACACAGACGGTGCCCGGCCGGGCTGGCCAAGGGGCTGAGGTCACCTTCCTGAGGCCACCAACTGCCCACGAGCAGTGGCCACGGGTGGGCTGGGAGGCGGGGTGACACCCCCCGGATTTTGGGGTGTCCCCGGTGCCTCAGCCCCCTCGTGCCACCCCGGAGCCGTGGCTCGGTGCGTCCCCATCCCGTGCCACGTCCCCAACACCGGGATGCCAGGGGGGGCACCACCGAGGTCCCCCAGCTGCGTGCCCGCTGCTGCCCCGGGAAGCCCCCCCACGCGTGCCCGTGGGCTTGGGGGCACCCCCACGAGCCGGACCCCCACCCCATGTGCCAGGCACGGGCAGGGGGGCGCACAGCAGCCCTCCCCTCCCACCCACCCCCGAACAAAGAACTTTGCTCCTCGCCCCCCCCGGCCCCTGTCCATCCCGTTGCCGTCCCCCAGCCGAGCCGGGCCGTGCCGGGCCGGGCCGGGGGGGGCGCACGGCGGGGCCGGGGCGGGGACCGGGGTGTCCGGGAGCGGGGCGGGCGGCTCGGCGGGCGGGCAGCGCGGCTCGCCGGGGACACCTAGCGGCAACGCGGCCGCAGGGCCCCCACCGCGCCCGCTCCCCCCGGCCCGGCACCCCCGGGGCACACCGCGAGGGGTCGAGGATGGAGCCCCCGGGGTGGGGGGGAGGGTGGAGGGGAGACGGCCTGGGGTGGGGAGGGGGTGGTGGGGATGGGGTGGGAGGTCCGGGGTGGGGTGGGAAGGGAGGGGGGGTTTGGGGGGTGTTAACCCGAGCATCCCTGGACCCGCGTCCCCTCCGGCTCCGTGGAGGGGCTGGTCAACCTGTCCCCTCTGTCCCCAGATCGGAGGCAGCCTCCCCCTGCCCCGCTCGCAGCCCCGACGCCAGGGTGATGGGCACAGGCTGCCCTCTCGGCTGCGCCGGCTCGGGAGCACCCCAGGGAGGACCAGCCCCTGGTATGTCCCTTGCAGGGACTGGCGCTGCGAACCCTGGGGCACGGGGGGGGTAACCCGGGGACCCCCTGGCTCGCGGCTAACCCTCCACCCCGCTTCCTTTGCAGAGAGCTCACAAAGTGCAACAGCAGGAGCAGCAGCAGAGCCGAGGGTAAGTCAGCGCTGCGCCGGGCGAGGGAGGAGGCGATGGGGTCAGTGGGGGAGCAGGGGGGCCAAATGCGGGCACCCCCAGCGGGGAGGGAGAGGGCGCAGCCGGTGGCGCCCTGGGGGGTCCTCACTGTCCCCTCTCTGCCCCATCCAGGTCCCTGTCTCACCATCCCCGACCCCCATGTCAGCAACTGCTCGGCCAAGCGGCACGCGGGGGAGGAGGAGTTCAGGATGCGCGTGAAGCCCCCGGGCCCAGTGGTAACGACCAGCGTTGTGCGCGGCTCGCCCGACTACGTCCGAGAGCCCAAATTCTACCCGCCGGGGCACCCGGCGCAGCGGCCCCCGGCCTGCCCGGCGGAGAAGGCTTTATCCTGCAGCGTGCTGAGCTTCCCTGAGGGCTCGTGCCCCGCGCTCGGCCGGGAGCACCAGGCAGGCTCGCTGCTGCACGGCGACCCGGCCGACCGGTGCCAGAGCGTGCACGGCGGCACCAAGGCGGCCGAGGACTTGCTGGGCTGCGCCGGCGAGCCCCGGATCCTGGGGGGCAGCGCGGAGGAGGCAGCCGCCCGCGACCGGGCGCCCAAGACCTTCCCCAACGCGACGCTGGCCTCGGGCCGCTGCAACGTCGACAGCATCGTCGCCCTGCTCCGGAGCAAGTGCGGCAACGGGCACATCAACCTCCACCCCGTGGTGCAGCTCATCGACATCATGAAGGACCTCAACCGCCTCTCCGAGGACCTCAAGAGCAGCGGGGTGCACCTGGACTGCGGCAGCCTCCGCGGCGGCGGCGGCGGTGGCCACGAGGACGGCCGCCTCCTGCCCGCCGACCGCGACCTCCAGTACAGCTTCTTCTCCTCGCCCTCCCTGGCCAACAGCATCCGCAGCCCCGAGGAGCGCGGGGTGCTCTGCAAAGCCGAGCCGCCGCGGCACCCCCGGCCCCCGGCCCGCGACGGGGAGGCCGAGGGCGGGGGGGGGAGCGCCCCGCAGCCTCCTCCAGCCTCCAAAGCGCCCGCGGAGGAAGCCGGTTGCTCGCAGCCCGACGCCGGCGACTACTCGGACCTGGCCGAGGCGGACATCCTGAACGAACTGGCCTCCCTGGCGTGCCCGGGGACGCAGCTGCTGGAGTCGCAGTCGATGGAGGCGCAGCCCCAGTTGCTCCCGGCCCAAGAGCTGGACTCCCAGTCCCGGCTGCTGGATTCCCAGTCGCTGGAGTCGCAGCCCCAGCTGCTCGATTCGCAGAGCTTGGAGCCGCTGCCGGAGTCGCTGGAGCTGCAGAACCTGGAGCCGCTGGGGCTGCAGTCGCTGGAGCCGCTCTCCGAGTCGCTGGAGCTGCAGTCGCTGGAGCCGCTCTCCGAATCGCTGGAGCTGCAGTCGCTGGAGCCGTTGGCGGAGCCGCTGGGGCTGCAGACGCTGGAGCCGCTGCCCGGAGCCCTGGAGCCGCAGCTCCTGGAGGCGCGGGCCCCGCTGCTGGCCACCGAGCCCTCACTGCTGGAGGCACAGCCGCTGGGGCCCGTGCCGGAGCTGCTGGAGGCGCAGGCGGGCACCGGGGACCCGCTGCGGCCCCACGGCCTGCAACCCCGCCTGGGGGGGTGTCCCCTGAGCAGCGTGGTGAAACGTGGCCCCTGTGGGGGCCGGGGGGCCGGGAGGTGCGGCGAGGACCACCGCAAGTATGCGCTGCGCCGGACTGACAAGCCAAAGATGCTGTGCCGCAGGAGGAGGGCAGGGCGAGGGCGCCGGGCGGACGTCGCCCCCGAGAGCCGCGTCCTGCCCCTCGCCCTGCCCGCCGAGGTGCCCCCGGGGCCCGAGGAGCCCAGCACCACCCCACTGCTGACCCCCCCGCCGCCCCCCGAAGCCCTGGACTCCGACGAGGTGCCCAAGGCCCCCGCGGCAGGGAAGAAGAGCAAGTGCCGCGGGGTGCGGAAGATGGTGGTGAAGATGGCCAAGATCCCCGTGTCGCTTGGGAGGAGGAACAAAACCACCTACAAGGTGTCCTCGCTCAGCAGCAACCTGAACCTGGAGGGCAAGGAGCTGGCGGCCAGCAGCTCCATGGAGCCCACGCCGCTGCTCAAGATGAAGAACAACGGGCGCAACGTGGTGGTGGTCTTCCCCCCGGGCGAGATGCCCATCATCCTGAAGCGCAAGCGGGGCAGGCCCCCCAAGAACCTGCTGCTGGGCCAGGCCAAACCCAAGGAGCCCGCCCCGGAGGTGAAGAAGAGGAGGAGGAGGAAGCAGAAGCTGGCCTCGCCCCAGCCCTCCTACATCGCCGACACCAACGACAGCAAGGCCGACTACTCGGACGTGCTGGCCAAGCTGGCGTTCCTCAACAGGCAGAGCCAGTGCTCGGGGCGCTGCTCGCCGCCCCGCTGCTGGACACCCAGCGAGCCCGAGTCCATCCACCAGGCCCCCGACACGCAGAGCATCTCCCACTTCTTGCACCGCGTGCAGGGCTTCCGCCGGCGCGGCGGCAAGGCGGGCGGCTTCGGTGGGCGCGGTGGTGGGCACGCCGCCCGTGCCTCCCGCTGCTCCTTCAGCGACTTCTTCGAGGGCATCGGCAAGAAGAAGAAGGCCCCCGCCGCCGTGCACGCCGACCCCGTGCACCCGCGCAAGAGGGGCCGGCCGGAGCCTGACCCCGTGGGCAAGCCCAAGCGCAAGCGGCGGACCCGCAAGAACGGGGTGCTCTTCCCCGAGCAAAACCCCGGGCAGAGCTTCAGCGACAGTGCCTCCGAGTGGGCCGGGGAGAAGGGCAGCCCCTGGGCCCCCCACCACGGCCACGCCGCCGGCCAGCCCAGCCGCAACTGCAGCTACCAGGGGGCCGAGGCCAGGCCCTTCCACGCCGCGGCGCTGGAGTCGGGCTCCTCCGGCCGGGCCGGCTTCTACACCGGCAGCGCGGCGTCCTCGCAGGCCGAGGTCAGCCAGGAGCGGCACAGCCTCTTCACGGGGTATTTCCGCTCCTTGCTGGACTCGGACGACTCCTCTGACCTGCTGGACTTCGCCCTCTCGGCCTCGCGCTCCGAGTCCCGCAAATCGGCGGCCGCCTACACGGCTCCCCCCAACGCCCTGGCGGGTCAACGGGGGGGCTTGGCCGCCTACCCGGCCCGGGGGGGCAAAGTGGCGGCAGCAGCAGCGGCCCCCGGCGCCGAGGCCGCTTTCCACGCGGCCATGCAGGGCCGCCAGGCCTTCCCTCCCGGCCGCCCCGCCGCCGGTTACGGGGTGGCACAAGGAGCCTCGGAGTGCCGCGGCGCCGAGGCCTTCCCCAAACTGGTGCCACCCTCGGCCGTGTCGCGGTCGCCCACGGCGCACCCGGCGGCCAGCGGCACCCCCGGCTACCCCCAGTACGGCGGCTACAGCGCGGGGCAGAGCGTGGCGCCCGCCAGCGTCTTCCCCCCGGGGAAGCAGTACCCGTCGGCGCAGGACTGCCCCAGCAGCAAGGACTGCAGCTTCGCCTACGGCAGCGGCAGCAGCCTCCCGTCCTCCCCCAGCAGCGCCCACAGCGCCGGCTACGCGCAGCAGACGGCCGGCCCCAGCCTGCCGCTGGGCAAAGCTTCCTTCTTCAACAGCGCCGAGGGCGGCCAGTTCTCCAGCGCCGCCCACACCCCGCTGCGCTGCGACAGCCGGGCCAGCACCGTCTCGCCCGGAGGCTACATGGTGCCCAAAGGCTCGGCCTCCTTCCAGCCCTCGCCCGAGAACTGCCGGCAGTTCCCCAGCGCGTCCCAGTGGGCTTTCCGGCAGGGCTACGGCGGCTTGGACTGGAGCTCGGAGGCTTTCAGCCAGCTCTACAACCCGGGCTTCGAGTGCCACCTCAACGAGCCCAACGTCATCCTGGACATCTCCAACTACACCCCGCAGAAGGCCAAGCAGCAGACGGTCTCCGAGACCTTCTCCGAATCCTCCTCCGACAGCACCCAGTTCAACCAGCCGGCCGGCTACCGGCGCGCCAACAGCGAGGCCTCGTCCAGCGAGGGCCAGTCCAGCCTCTCCAGCCTGGAGAAGCTCATGATGGACTGGAACGAGGCCTCTTCGGCCCCCGGCTACAACTGGAACCAGAGCGTCCTCTTCCAGAGCAACTCCAAGCCCGGCCGGGGCCGGCGGAAGAAGGTGGACATGTTCGACACGTCCCACCTGAACTTCTCCTCCTCGTCCTCCTCCTCCTCCGTCTACCCCTCCAAGAGGAGCACGGGGCCGCGGCAGCCCCGGGGCTCCCGAGGGGCCTGCGCCTCCAAGAAGGAGCGGGGAACGGGCAAGGCCAAGTTCCCCACCAAGTCGCAGCCGGTGAACCCCCTCTTCCAAGAGAGCACGGACCTGGGCTTGGACTACTACAGCGGGGACAGCAGCATGTCCCCCCTGCCCTCCCAGTCCCGGGGCTTCGGGGTGGGCGAGCGGGACCCCTGCGACTACGCCGGGCCTTACTCCATGAACCCCTCCACCCCCTCGGACGGGACGTTCGTGCAGGGCTTTCAGAGCGACTCCCCCGGCTTGGGGCAGCCGGATTTGGAGAGCAAGCACTTCCCCGCCCTCCCTCACCAGCTGGCGGCCCCCGGCCAGCAGACTGTTTTCGAGGCCGGGCTGCAGAAAGCCTTCTCGCCCAACTGCTCGCCCACCCTGGCCTTCAAGGAGGACCTGCGGGCGGGCGACCTGCGCAAGCTGCCGGCCTGCGACTCGCTCAAACACAGCATGCAGGGGGGGGGGGCCCTGCCGCACGCCCCGCACATGGCCTGCCGCGACCTCCCCATGCCTCAGCCACACTACGACTCCCCCAGCTGCAAAAATCCCCCCTACTGGTACTCGCCCAACGCCAGCACCCGCAGCCCCTCCTCGTACGACGGCAAGGCGGGGGCCGGCATGCTGGTGGACTTCATGGGCAGGACGGACCCCTCGTGTCTCAACCCCCACCTGAGCAGCCCGAGCGGCGCCCACCCCCCCAAGGGCGAGAAGGAGCCCTTGGAGATGGCCCGGGCTCACCACCGAGGCCCCTACGCTTGCCCCCTGATCAATGACTTGAATATCTCCCCCGTACCGAGAGACTCAATGCTGCAGCTGCAGGACAACTACAGGTACCCCCCCAGTTTTGCACCCCAAGGGCACCCCGTCATGGCCCCCGCCCAGAAGAGCGGGTTTTTGGGGCCGATGGTAGAGCAACAGCACCCCGAGGACACTTTTACGGTCACCTCATTGTAGTGTCTGCTGACGTGCCAACCGGACAACGAGGTTTTGTTACAGGGTAGGTGCGGGACCCCCCCCCACTCACCTCGGGGCAGGGGGTCCGTGGGGTGCTGAGATATTGGGGTGTGGGGAGGGGTGGGGCACGGGGCGCCCGGGCCCTTCTCACCCCCCCGTCCCGCTGTTGTGTTTCTCTTGCAGAGGTAATTTAGCCAGCACTTTTTTTCTGGAACACTTTTCAAGTTCTGTATTTAACTGGGATTGGAACCGTTTGTTTGTTTTCTAAAAAAAAAAAAAAAAAAATAAGAAAAAAAAAAGAAAAGAAAAGAAAAAAAGGGAAAAAAAAAGAAAAAAAATGAAAAAAAAAAAAATAAGTGAAGCGAAAGAGAAAAAAAATAACGGAAGAAGAGAAAAGGAAGAGAGAGACCCCCCCCTCCCCCAGTTTTTTTCCCCCCTTCATACTAAAACCCGCTCCGTCTGAGAACGCCCCGGCTCTGCTTTCCGGACTGCCGCCCCCCACCTCCCGCCCCGCAGCAGGACAATCGGACGGACAGACGGACGGACGGCCAGCCGGACGGACGGACGGACAGCACCGGCCCCCGCCGAGCCCAGGGCAGAGAGGCGGCCACGAGACCTGTGGGGTCAGCGGCCCCGAGCCCCCTCCCCGGTGCCGCGGGGACCCTCGGCCGCCCTCGGAGGGTCTGGTTTGTGGTTTTTGGTTTGTTTTTTTTTTTTTTGCTTTTTTTTTGTTTTTCTTTCTTTTTTTTTTTTTTCTGTTTTCCTCCCCGTTTGCTCGCTTGCTGGGGGTGTTTTTCTCGCCGGATGACGCCGATGGGTGTTCGGGAGAGCTGGCCGCACGCAGACTTTTTGGCAGCTTCGCCGTGGGGCTCGGAGACGCAGACGGTGCCCAGTAAGTGCCACGTGCGCCCCCCCCCCCCCCCGCTGCTGCTGCCTCTCCCCGTGGCACCCTTCGGGGCTGCGAGCACCCATGGGTGCTGCCGGTGGTGTCCCGTGGCCGAGCACCAACCCGGAGACCTCGGCTGCCCCCGGGGTCTGCGGGTGGATGGGGCGCGGGGTGCTCGGTGCCGGTCCCCTGGGTGCGGGGTGATGGAGGGGGGGACCCCTGGGTATGTGGGTGCTGGGTGACTGGGACCCCAGATCCTGGCTTTATTGGTGCTAAATGGGGGATTTGTGGGACCCCAGACCCCTGGGCTGGTGGGTGGCAAATGGGGGAGAGCAGGACCCCAGATCCTGGGTGTGTGGGTGCCGGATGGGGGATTTTTGGGACCCCAGAGCCCTGGGTAGGTGGGTGCCTGATGGGGGGTCAGAGGGACCCCAAATTCCTGGGTATGTGGGTGACAAGTGGGTGTGTGGGACCCCAAACCCTTGGGCAGGTGGGTGCCAAATGGGAGATTTTTGGGACCCCGGAGCCCTGGGCAGGTGGGTGCCAGACCCCTTGGCATGGGGGTGATCAATGGGGGGATTTCGAGACCCCAAACCCTTGGGCTTTTGGGTGCCAGATGGGAGATTTGTGGGACCCCAAACCCCTGGGCAGGTGGGTGCCAGATTTGGGGTGTGGGAGACCCCAGACCCTTGGGCATGTGGGTGCCAGATTTGGGGCATGCAGGACCCCAGTCCCCTTGGTATGGGGGTCCCAGATGGGGATGTGTGGGGGACCCCAGACCCCTGGGCAGGTGGGTGCCAGACTCCTTGGCATGGGGGTGCCAGATTTGGGGCATGCAGATCCCCAAACCCTTTGGCCTGGGGGGGGCTGGATATGGGTTTATGGGACCCCAGACCCTTGGGCATGTGGGTGCCAGATTTGGGGCACGCAGGACCCCAGACCCCTTGGTATGGGGGTCCCAGATGGGGATGTGTGGGGGACCCCAGACCCCTGGGCAGGTGGGTGCCAGATTTGGGTTGTGGGGGACCCCAGCCCCCTGCGCCACACAGGCAGCACCCATTCGGCCACGGATCCATCCCTCCTCCATGAAACCAGGCTGGGGGGGCCGGGGGGGCGTCCGGATGCTCACCCCTGTCCCCTCTCCCCCCAGGCAGCCCAGCCAGCGGAGCCCCCGCGCCCTCGGCCCCCCGAGCCCACCCGACGGCCCCGGCCACCGGAGCAGAGAGGAGAGGAGGAGAGGAGAGGAGGGGGCCGCCGCCGGTGCCCCCCGGCCCCGCCGCCCCGCTTCGTCGTCCCCCCCCCCGGCCCCCGCCCCGGCCGTGGCGCCGGCGCCGCGCTCTCCTCCCGCCAGAAGCAGAGGGACTCTTTGGATTTATTATTATTATTTTTTTTTTTAATTTTTTTTTATTATTATTATTTTATTAAGTTTCGTTTTCTGCACAAAAACCAGCAATTGTAAATACTTTTGAAGAAAAGGAGAAAATACAAAAAAAAAAAATGTTTAAGGAAAAAAAAAAATTTAAAAAAGACGAAAACTCACAAAAAAAAAAATAAAAAATAAATAAATAAAGGAGAGCCACACACCTGGGAGAGAATCAAAAAGTTGACGGAGAATAAAAAAAAAATAATAAAATAAAAACTGAAGCGCAAGAGAGGCGGATATGCAGGAGAGAAGAGCAAAAACCCACCAGTATGCACTGAGAAAATTTATTTACAGATCGATCGACAAAAAAAAAAAAAAAAAAAAAAAAAAAAAAAAAAAGTAACAATAACCTATTTATTGTATATAATGTTTTATTATAAATCGTGTCTTGTATATTGCATTCTGTACATCTGCTGTGGTTTTGTGGTGTGCAACTTCCGCATGGGTTCCTTGGGTTTCCGTTGCCTTTTTTTAATGACGATGATTTTGAGTTTTATTTTTATTATTATTAATAAGGACGACGCGTTTTTGGTTTGTTTTTTTTTTTTCCTCTCTTTTTTTTTTGGCAGTACACACCCAAAGATCCGAATTTGTATAAAAAAACGAAAAAAAAGGAGTTAAAAAAAAAGGAGTTAAAAAAAAAATGAGTTAAAAAAAAAGAGTTTAAAAAAAAAAAGTTAAAAAATGAGTTAAAAAAAAAAAAAAAAGATTTAAAAAAAAAAAAAGAAAAGAAATCAATAACACACCCTCTTTGTGGGGAGGGGGAGCCGGGGGGGGGCACGGGGGGGCCGCTCTCCTTCCCGCGGTGACGAGCTCAGGGTGTGCGTGTGCGCGTGGGTGCCGGGGGGGGTCGGCTCCTATTTTCTCCCCAACCCTTTCCCTGTGTCCCCCCCCCTTCATTTTGCCCCTTCCCCTTCATTTTGCTTCCCCCCCTTCATTTTCCTTCCCCCCCCCCAAACCCAGGGTTTGGCAACTTCTGTACAGCTTTGTGGATTGTGCAAAAAAAGAAAAAAAAAACATAAAAAAAAATTGACCGACCCCTCCCCAAAAATGAAAACCGGTGCAAAAAAAAAGGGCAAAATGCCCCCAAAAAAATAAAAAGGGGGGGGGGATTTAAAATAAAATAAAATAAAATAACCTGGTCAAAATAGCAGCCCCCCCTCCCTCCTCGTGTCGCCCCCCCCTCAAGCTGACCCGCGCAGTGCTTGTGCTGACCCGGCCGGAGATGCCGTGGCCCCCCCCCCATCCGGAGAGCCCCCCCCGGCCCCCGCTCTTGCCCTGAACTGGTCTTTTTGTGTATTTAGGAAGGAATTTTTCATAGGCACTTTTTTTATATTAAAAGAAACCTATATATTGAGCCGTGCCGCTGCGTCCTTGCTTCTCTCGGGGGGGGCGGCACGGCCTCGCTGCGCCAAGGGGGGGGGAGAAAAAGGGGAGTTTGACCCCCCCCCCCAAGGTTGGGGGGCTCAGCCCCAGCACGGCTACAAGGGGGGGGACGGCAGCGAGCAGGATGAGGCCCCGCGGTGGGATCCCTCCATGGGGTCCCCCAGTGGCACCAGTGGGCACCCGCTACTGGGAACGATGGGTGCCAACCCCCCCCCCCCCCCATCCTCCCCATGCCCCCACCCATCAGCACCCATGGGTGCCACCCCCGGTGGGTGACGGAGGAGGCAGCGGCTTGGGGCTGCGGACAGGTTGAGGGCCAAAAGGGCTAAAAAATGATTAAAAAATTTAAAAAAATTAATTAAGAAAAAAAAAAAACCTTCCAGGAATGGGCAGCTCAGCCCTGCAGCATCCTTATTTTTTATTTTTTTTTTGGGGGGGGGGGATTTGAGGGATTTGAGGGGGGGGGGCAGCAGCTACCTGTGGGTGGGAGAGGTGAGCAATCCCGGCGGGGTCACGGCTGCTGCAGAGCAGTGCGCTGGGGGGGGGGGGGTCGAGGGGGGGGGATAAAAAAAAAAAAAGGAAGAGGTTGCTATGGAGAGCAACACACGGCGCATACTGATGGCTGGGGGTGCGGGGGGAGCGGGGCTGCCAGCACCACGCCACCGGGCTCCAGCATGGCTGTGTGGGCGAGGGAGGGGGTAAAAGGGGGGGGCAAGGTGTTTTGGGGAGCCCTGACCCCCTCCTCGCCACGCTGGGGGCTCGGCATCATCCACGCCCCCCCCCACCCAGCTCCAGGGCTGCGGTGCGTGGCTGGGTGGTACCAAGTGAGCGTGGTGCCGTGCAGCCCCCCCCCAAAAAAAAAAAATAATAGGATAAAATTGTTCTGGGGTTGGGAGGTGTCCCAGGGGGTGCATGGGGGTCTCCGCACCCCTTTATAGGGCCGGGGTGCTGGGAGGGAGAGGAGAGGGGGGTGCCAGCCCCGGCCCCCCCCCGGTGCAGGTGGTTTGGGGTGTGGAGGAGGCTGCGTTTCCACGGGGCAGGGGTCAAAGTGGGGGGGCACACGGCTCCCCTGCGGTCCCCCCCAGCACCCTGGGTGCCCCCCGGGGTCCTTGGGGTAAAGCTGGGGGCGAGGGGAGGGTGGAGGGGAGGGGGCAGGGGGGGGGCTCTGCTGGTGCCTGCGATGCTGCAGCGTCCCCATCCCCATCCCCAGGGACCCCCCACGCTCACTGCCTGTGGGGTGCACCCCTGGTGTCCCCATCGGGGTCCCTCCCCACCCCCCCAAAGGCTCATTCCCTTGGGGACATCAGTGGGGGGCACCCAGCCTTGGCACCCCCCACCCCACAGCACCGGGAGGCTGCTGGTGGGGCAGGGACGGGGGCTGCAGCCCCCCCAAACCCACAGACCTTGCGCACGCAGCACCCATGGGAGAGGGACACCCCCTCCAGGACACCCCAAAACTGTGCTCGCCCCCCCCCTCCAGACCTCCCTGCCTCCAACGGGGCTCCGTGGGGAAACTGAGGCAGGCAAGGGGGGGCCGTGCCATGGGTGCCCTGCACCCTGCACCCACCCGGTGGGGGCTGCACCCATGGGACCAGGGCTTTGGTGGGCACCAAACGCTTCTGCAGCGACCCCAAACCAACACCTTGCCCTCCCCGTGAGCCGTTTTCCCACCATTTCGCCAATTTTTGGCACGGAATGGGGATGGGGGGGGGGTCGTGGCACCGCTAACGAGCGAGTTGCGCCCACCTTCCCCGTGCTAACGAGGGCCAGACCCGAAGTAGTGGGGGCTGAACCGGGAAATGAATCCCCCCCGGTGGCATCACCCATCTGCGCCGTGCCCCGACCTCGTTCCCGGGGCGCAGCGTGGGTTTTATTTTATTATTTATTTTATTTTATATATATATTTTTTTTTAATAAATGCGATGAAATCCAGCGGGCGGGCTCTGCGGCTCAGGAGCCTGGCGATGGGGCCGATCACCGAGGGTTTTATCAGCACGGCCCAGCGGCTCTGCCACCGTGCCAGGCTCTTGGCTGGGTCTCGCCAGCAGAGGCTGCTTTGGGGGGGGGGGGAAAAAAAAGGACAAAACGCCTTCGAAATTTGGAGGGGAAACGCTCGCTTCGCCCTTTCTTCATTTGCGCATCGAAGTTTGGGGGGAGCCGCTTGCAGGGGGTGCAGCGCCAGGATTTAGGAGCTTTTCCCCCAAAAAAATCAGCAGCCCTGGGTGCTGTGCGCGGTGCTGAGCGAGGCACCGAGGCGCTGCGGGGGGGGGGGGGCAGGCGGAGGAAAGCCCCGGCTGTGCCTGGTGGGGGCCACCGGGGCCATTTTTTAATTAAGCAGCCCAAACGGCGCAGCCCTGCTCGCTCGGAGGCGGCTCGCTGCCATTTCGGCTTCTCCCATTCCCTCGGAAACAAAGCAGGAATTTGCCTCCCCTCCCTGCCCTCCCCTCCCACCTCCCAGCGTGGGGACAGAGCCCGGGGAGGGGGGGGGGGACACAACGAGGCCGTGGAAATGCCCCCGTTCCAAGGGGATCCAGGAGCAGGGATGGGGACGGGGCTGCGCACCCGGCACGGGGCAGCACGCGGGACCCCCGTACCCACGCTGATGGGGGGGGACCCTCTGTGCGCCCCCCCGGTGCCAGCTGAACCCCGACACCGGGCTTTCCATCGCCACCAGGACATCGGCCCCGGTGCCAGGCGTGCCCCCGCAGGTCACCTTCGCTCTGCTTCGCCCCAGCAGCGATTTTGGGGCCGTGGCAGGGCCCAGCCTTGGCACCGCGCGGGGCCGGGGGCCGGCGGCGCTGTCTGGAGCTGCCCAGGAGATTTGGACACCCCCCCCCCCGCCAACACCCCCCAACCCTTCTCCTTCAAATTAATGGCTGTGCCGCGAAGAAAATTGAAGCCATTATTCTTAGCTCGCATCCTTTATACCCACGAACTTCAACCACTTGACATGCTAATCACAAGCTAACGAGGAAGGGAGGCGATTTCCCACGTCAGACCCGCAATCCAGTGCATCTGGCAGCCCCTGCCCGCCGCCAGCGCCCCTCCGAAGCCCCCCCCCCAGCTGCTGGCAGCCCCTCTGGCCGAGCTGTCCTCGTCCCCTGCTCCGGGACAGCCCCGGGACAGCTTTGGGAAGGGGGCTGCGGGCAGGGGCCGGTGGCGGTGGCGGTGTCCCCGGGACGTCCCCAACGCGGGGAGGGCCCCCTGCGCAGCAGCGGGGGCGGCGCGGAGCCCAGCTGCAGCACCAGACCACCCCTGCTTTTCCCAGAGGAAGGGCCAGGCCCTCGCAAGCTATTTCCCCAACCCCCCCGCCGGGTTCCCCGTCCCCCCCCCTCTTTTTTCTCCTTCCGTTCCTCCGGCAGCAGCTCGGGCCCCCCAGCACCCAGCGGGATGGCGAACCCGCTTCTGCCCGAGCCCAGCGCCCGCAGCCCCGTTTCGGGGTCCCGCTGAGCCCTGGCGCGCTCGCTGCGCCCACCCAGCCCAAGCCCAGCCCGTCCCCAGCCACCCCGGCTGGATTCGGCCCAGCCGCCGGCCGGGCAGAAAGCTCTGGAGTCCATTAACATTCCCCCGAGCCATCTAATCCCCTCTCTGCCCTGGCTCTGGCTTTTACTTTGTTTTAATCAAGCCCAGCCTGGCGCCTTTTAAATAACCGGGGCGGACGGCACCCTGCTCTGCGCCAACCCACGGGTGCTGCTGGCTGCGGGGCCACCGCTGCCACGGCTCCCAGTGCGTGCCCGTGTCCCCTGGTGCATGCCCGTGTCCCCCAGTGTGTGCCAGGGTCCCCCAGTGCGTGCCCATTTACCCTGGTGCATGCCCATGTATCCCAGTGAGTTCCCATGTCCTCAGCATGTGGCAGTGTCCCCAGCGTGTGCCATTGTTTCCAGTATGTGCCCGTGTCCCCCAGTGCACGCCCATGTGCCCCAGCGTGTGCCCATGTCCCCAGTGCACTCTCA